ATATTTTCAGAAACTTCATAGCCAACCACGGCTTGACGTCGATGCTCCAACTACTAAATATCCCAGCGCTGGACAAGGAGGAGGAATGCAAACAGTTGCTGGACAATATGCGACATGTAGCCACTAGGGGAGAGACCCTCGACAGTATTAACATGTTTATTGGTAAGATGCATCCATCATTAAATAACAACCTTGAGCACGCTATTTGTCAAACGGGTCAAAGAACGCAATTTCAAAGATTGAGTTCACATCACATCAACAGACTACACGTGCCCACTGCTGAGCAAATCCTCTTCTCACACGGAAATGGTTTAGAATGGATAGGTAGGCAGAGGTGCACATTACGGCACTTACTGCGACTGTACAATGTAACACCCACTTTTCACTATTGATGTTATGAGTCCCAATGTAATAGGGGGTGAGCCTTTTGCCATATACCGGGCACAGTTCCAGACTCCGTGCTACCACTGAGAAAAACCCGGTAATTCTTTGCCCTTTAGTCGCACTTGCAACCACTCGGCTAACGAGGCAGTCATTTTACAAAAACATGTATCTACTTATCCTTTTTTCAGCGCTAAACGGCATCCACCACGCCGGCAAGGTGATGTCAGAAGAGGTGAAACAGATCAGGAACCCGCTGATGCATCCAGCGTTCATATTCAAGAAGGTTTTAGCTAATAGGCATCAGGTAAGTTCTTTTTTATTTTTTATGAAATAGGAGGCAAACGAGCAAACGGATCACCTGATGGTAAGCGATTAGCGCCGCCCATGGACACCCGCAACACCAGAGGAGTCACAGGTGCGTTGCCGGTTTTTTTAAGGGGGGAAAATCATCGAATGACTGCTCTCGCCTGGGTGAGGCTGGAGGGAGTGTCAGACTCTTACTGACTAAAAACCACCCCGTTCCTTCTGCACGTCGAGCCGGAGCCCCGGTAACCCGTTCTATAGCCCGTAAAATCTCTTCTGAAGTGGCAATGGGCAGGCCATGTCGCTCGACAGACTGTCGGCAGATGGGCCAGGAAAGTCCATGAGTGGAGACTACGGACCGGAAGACGAAGCGTGAACAGGCCTCCCGCTAGGTGGGCCGACGACATCGCCAGAGTGGCGGGGAGCCAGTGGATGCAGGTGGCGAGTTGTCGTTCGACGTGGAGGACTAAGGGGGGGGCTTTGTCCAGCATTGGACGTCTTCCCGCTGTTGGTGATGTTGTCTGTTTTTCTGTATGTTTGTCCTGGATGAACTCAAAAGGTCATCATCCCACTGCTGAGCAAAGCCTCTTCTCACACGGAGAAGGTTTGAGCATTAATCACCACGTTTACTCAATGCGGGTTGGTGATTTGAAACTTATAATAGAAATTATAAGCCCAAGTTTCCTCACGTGAAATTTAAAAGTGAAGCTATTTGCTCATTCCAAGGCGTAGATTCGTATGGAGAAGAACGAGCAAGAGAGTTACTTGCTCGTTCTTCTCCATAGGTTACTCTTTTCCAATCAGTTCCATAATACAATTCTTCATTTACACAGTTTTATTGGTTCGATTGTGCGAGAACAATGTAACACCAAAATCTAGTCAAAGTGATCAAAAAAGTAAATAACCTTAAAGACAATAAATAATACACTCTGGAGCTGACAAGTCCCAGTTGACGGGCCGTTCACGAACATGACACGTACACCAGCACCGCCCAACTCAACCATATTGTAGGGAATCGAGCGATCCACTGCACGCGCCACCGCCAATGAGACCTTTGAGTGAAAAGTGAATAACTATTATTTGATTATTTTTACAGGAAAAAGACGATCCAAAACTGACTCTGTACCTCGCAGAATATCTTCACCCCACATTAAAGCAGCCTTCAGAACAGCTGGAATACTGTGTTCTTCGGATGAGGTTCGCCTGCGAGACTCTTATGGCGAGACACGGCGTCAAAATAGCTTCGGCTTACACGTAAGTGGAGTGGTGATTATGGATTTTGAGAAGTGGTGATTATGTTTTGCGGGGCGGGGATTACTGACGTAGGTAATTTTTTCATTAGAGATGTTCAATTAGTTGTAGATTTTTTCGTGGGAATCAAAGCTGCTGTCATTTGCGTAGCAGTACACAATTAAACCCACTTTTCCGTAAAAATATTACTTATTAAGTAATTATAAACTGTCATTTATTGTCTAAATTGGTGAATAACATAACATAACATCACGCCTTTTATCCCCGAAGAGGTAACCAGAGGTGCATATTACGGCACTTGATGCCACTGTACAATGTAACACCCACTTTTCACTATTTATGTTACGAGTCCCATGTAATAGGGGGTGAGCCTATTGCCATATACCGGGCACATTTCCAAACTCCGTGCTACTGCTGAGATTTTTTTAAAACCCAGTAATACTTTGCCCGACCCGGGAATCGAACACGAGTCCCCTGGAATTTATAGAGAAATGTGAATATTAAATTTAAATATTTAATTTTTCAGAGAACTGAATCGATTGGCTGAAGCGGGGACTGAAATATTAGTTATGACAGCAGTCTTAGCGAGGGCATCAAGGTACCTATGTCACTATGTCACGTTTAAACTGTCAAACACCAAGCGGTCACCGGTGACCGCAACCTATTGTTCTATAATTGTGTCTACAAAACCGGTACTCGACGAGTTAATACACCTAATTCATGTTAATGTATGTATGTATGTATAGTTCATTGTGCTCGTGTGTAGGTATATAACATAACATCACGCCTTTTATCCCCGAAGGGGTAGGCAGAGGTGCACATTAAACCGATGTATAATGGAACACCCACTCTTCACTATTTATGTTATGAGTCCCATGTAATAGGGGGTGAGCCTATTGCCATATACCGGGCACAATTCCAGACTCCGTGCTACCTCCGAGATTTTTTAAAAACCTATTAATACTTTGCCCGACCGAATCGAACCCGAGACCCCTTGCCCGGCAGTCCCACATACTACCACTCGACTAATGAGGCAGCCTTGAAAGAATTAATAACCTATTTGTCTTCTTTCACAGAGCATACTGCATTGGTTTAAGAAATGCTGAAGTGGAAATGAAACTAGCTGCCTGTTTTGTAGAAAAAACTCGAGATAAAGTAAGAAAATTGATCAAAGAAATAGATGATGGCGAATATCTCAACCTGGACTTTTTTACTACCCAATTTGGTAGGAAAGCGCTCGACAGTAATGCTACCAATCCTACCTTGGTAGAAAAAGCTACCGCGAGAGTGTTTTGGTAGGATTTTTTGGGAGAATTTATAATTAGGACTATTTTTTCTCACTAGATGGCACTAAATGATTTAAGTTTCTATTTAATAAGTGTTACTACTCAACTAAAGAATTTCTCGATGACAAAGGTTGCAAAAGCGTCGTTGGAGAATAGTATATAAATAACATAACATAACATCACGCCCTTTATCCCCGAAGAGGTAGACAGAGGAGCACACAGAAGTAACACCCACTTTTCACTATTTATGATATGAGTCCCATATAATAGAGAGGGTTAGCCTATTGCCATATACCGGGCACAATTCCAGACTCCGTACTACTACTGAGATTTTTTTAAAACCCAGTTTTACTTTGCCCGACCCGGGAATCGAACCCGAGACCCCTTGTCCGGCAGTCGCACTTGCGACCACTCGGCCAACGAGGCAGTCAGAGTAGTATTATATAAATATATACGTAAATAATAAGTGTAATATTTGAACACCGATTCGGTGTATGTATAAGACATTAATTAAGATAAAACACCTTATTGTAACTACATTCTGACAAATACATTTTTCTATCTTTCTAATGCGGAGTGATACCACGGCCTCACAGAAAACCGACGTGAAGCAACGCTTGCGTTGTGTTTCGTCGTGTGAGTCAGGTTACCGGAGGCCCAATTACCCCTCCCCTTCCCCAATTCCTGAATCCCCAACGATCCTCAAACTCCTAATCACCAAAAGGCCGGTAACGCACTTGTAACGCTTCTGCAGCTGTAGCCAAACGCCATTTAGCGCTTGTCTACATGTAGAATAGAAAACAAAATTATATGGAATTGACGTAAATTTTGACACTTGTCAGTGTCATCCCCATACATTTAGTTTTCTGCTCTCTCGGTAGACAAACGCTAAAATGGCGTTTGGCTAAAGGTATTGGTGTTCCAGGTGTCCATGGGCGACGCCGATTGCTTACCATCAGGTGATCCGTCTGCTCGTTTACCGGCTTATGTCATTAAAAACAAACAAAAAAAGTTGCGACAGGTCTTATTATCCAATAAAAATATGACAAATAGACTGTTCAATGCCATCTAGTAAGCAAAAAACTAATCTATATTATCCTGTATTTAAGAACTGGTTTAGTTGTTATTTTGTAAATAAATAAAACTAGTTTATTGTTATATGATGTTTTATTGATAGTTCCCTTAATTCTATAAAATCTTGCTTAAAAATATCCCAGCTACCATCAGTTGACTGGACATCTACACGACACGAGTCACTGTTTACATGTGAACATTAGCTCATGACGATACCAGCGTACGTGTGTCACTGGACAGTGAACCTCGCTACCATCAGTTGACTGGACATCTACACTACATGAGTCACTGTTCAATTTGAAACATCAAATATGTCTTATCTATCGATCCTTTAGTGAAGGTAGATGCTAAAACTACAATAAATTAAGAACTACCTACAAAAAGTGGAGGGCATAGTAATTGGGCCTCTAGGTAATAGGGTAGATGCCTAATTTTTATTTTAATGTCCGTCTGGTAGATTATTTTAAATCATTAGACACGTATTTTTTATTTTCTTACAGAAACGAATACTTTCGACGATATTATAATGATTTGAAATGTCACGTGACGTCACTTCTATGTACATTTTATACGTAGAAACGACGTTTTAGCCTCCACTCCTAAACTTTGATTCGTTTTATCTAAGTATTGCTTTATTATACGACAAAATAAAAAAATACGTGTCTAATATTTTTTCATTACCTAACTTACGGACTAATTAGATTTTTAATTTTCATACCCTGTCATCATCCCTATTGATCTAGTTTGTTTCAGCTTTGTCTAATAAAAGCGTGTTTTGTTTTAAAGTGCTCAAAATACTCTACATCGCCACTAAGGCCTATAATCCTTTGGAAAAACACTGATATAAGACACACCCTTTTCGGAAACCGGTTTGAAACTATCACCAAATGTGACATTTTTGGCGACATTGCCCCTCTTACCAAGCTTCCCCCTTTTTCGGATTTTCGCTACAGACTGGGCTACTTTCGATTCTAGACTAGACTTAGACTCAAAGGCTACTTTTTCTGGTTTCGAGTTAAAACTCTGGACTTTATTCTTTTCTTTTCGTTTGTAGTAGAAAACTTCCCATGCTAAAGTTAGCATCGCTAGTCCTAAACCGAAGAGCGTTGCTATGAATACTCCACCTGTGAAAGAAAAATGTTATTCAATCACTTATAACACTTTTATTTGCCATAATTGCACTTGGCAGGGAAGATAGAGACCGCAATTTATAAGGATCAGGTTTATCAATCCCTTTTTGTGAGGGGAGAAAATCATCCAATGACTTCTCCCGCCTTGGGTTAAGCAAAAGGGAGTATCAGACTCTTACTGACTAAAAGCCATCCTGTTCCTACTCCTGCACTTCGAGCCGGAGCCTCGGTGGCGGGAGTGTAGCAATTCCTGAATCCCCAACGATCCTCAAACTCCTAATCCCCAAAAGGCCGGTAACGCACCTGTAACGCCTCTGGTGTTCCAGGTATTCATGGGCGACGCCGATTGCTTACCATCAGGTAAACGAGCCGACGGATTACCGTCGGCTCGTTTACCGGCTTATGCCATAAAAAAAGCTGTGCAAGGAAATTCTTATAAGTGGCTACTTTTTCATTTCTATCGTTTAGTATACCTTAAAATAAGGTGGAAATCATCTGGGCACATTTTGTCTAGGGCTTCAGGTTTGCCTGAAAATGAGCCCTAAGGGTCAGTTGGCGGAGTATGGAGGAGGAAAAAAAGCGTTTTTCAAAAGTCACAAATCTCTTGTGCACCCTTTGCTGATGACACACACACACACACACACAGACCCACACACTCTGACAGCCCCGGCAACCCGTTAAGCCTTCCGTGGCTCCGTATCGGGCATCAGCCCTACTAGGCCCCATCTGTGATTGTCTGATGGCAAGGTTTATCAACCCTGTTGTGTGGTCTTTGTTAAATCAGTCGGTCGATCAATAATGCCTGCGATGGGTCTATCTGTCCGATGTTATCGAAGGTCCACTCAACAGTCTATTCATGCCCACTGCTGAGCAAAGCCTCTTCTCTCACGGAGAAGGTTTGAGCATTAATCATCACGTTTGCTCAATGCGGGTTGACGACTAAAAACTTAAAATTAGAAATTATAAGCCCAGGTTTCTTCACGATATTTTCCTTCACCGTTTGTCAGTGGTGTCTAGATAATCTTAGAAAGTACATATAACTCGGAAAAAGTCACATTGGTACTTGCCGTTAGATAGGTTTCGTCGTGAGAAGCTGGCGTCTTAAACCTCCGGGACACCATGACACACATCGAAGATTCCAATTCCCCCATTTTCGAAAAAATCGACAACGCACTTGTAACTTCGTTGGTGTTCCAAGTGTCCATGGGCGACACCGATTGCTTACCATCAGGTGATCCATCTGCTCGTTTATCTTCTATCTCATAAAATACATTTTAGCTTACCCAAACTCTCAAGAGTGATTCCTTCAGACTCATCAGCATCAGGACAGGCTTGTCTTGCCGACTCATTCCAATATCTAGAAAATAAAAAGACTATATAATATGTACCTATAAAACTCTCCGGTTACCGGTAACTTATAGTGACTGACAGACAACATGCATCCGAAACTGAATACTTTTTCTATGGTGTCTTCCCTCTGTAAATGAGGGTCATTCCAGTAGAAGAGCAGATGTAACTGCTGAAATTCCCCCTCCTCCTTCGCCCTCGTTTTCGAGTGTTGTGGGAGTCTATGAGATACATTTGATCATTGGCCCCTTAACCCATGTAAAAAGCTCATTCTTACTGTACTGATTTATTAGAATTATGGTAAAAACACTCACTTAGAAGCCAGCTGTTCCAAGAACCTCTCCTTCTGCAGCTCCAGCAGTGCTCTGGACAGGTCCTCCTGCAACCTGGACCCTTGCTGGACAGCTATAGCGTACGGCTGCTCAGCGAATACCTCGCCCACTTCCGTCAAATTGCAATTTCTTGTTACTTCGTATCTGAAAAATAATTTTTACGTCCCAAGCTTTGGATTTATGGACCGGGGTGGTCTTTAGTCATGTAACCTCCCAAAACCGCTGCAGCTCCTGTAAGCCAGAATCTACAGTAGATACAACCATGAAAACACCGGAACACTGAAGTCCAGCGGGTCCCAGAGACATGAGTAACTGTCTTGGTTCCCGCAACGAAGTGAATCAGAAGATATTATAAGAGGAGAAAAAGAAAAAACTATAGTTTCCACTTCCCTCGGTGAATTACTGCAGGAGACAGAATGAATTAAGCCTAAAGGCAGAAAGAAAACTTAAAAAACCACTTTAGTCTTACTGACTAAAGTGGTCTTTAGTCAGTAAGAGTCTGACACTCTATCTTGCATCACCCAAGGTGGAAGGAGTCAATGGATGATTTTGCCCTTCAAGCTTTAGAATTATTCTCCCAATCAACCCCAAAATTCCTAATCCAGAAGAGACACCTGGATGCCGTCATGTCTTGTGTTTGGGCAGGCGTGCTCCATCGTTGGCCACATCATCGCTTACTACCAGGCGAGATCATCATCATCGCTTACTACAAACGACAATCTATTAAGCATAAAAAAAATCTCCAAATCTCCAAAAGACCGGCAACGCACTCGTAACACCCCTGATTTTCCGGATGTTCATGGGCGTGGGCAGCGCCGATTGCTTACCATCAGGTGAACCGCAAACTGGTTTGGTAACCTACTCCATAAAAAAAGCTAAATTTAACAAGCCCAGCACAGAATATCTTCCCACAATGTGGTCAGACGACCTGATATAGGTCGCAGCAAACCGCTGTATGCAGATCGCTTCCGACCTCGCAATGTATAGTCATTGGGTAAAGGACTGTGGGAGGCAGTGGACAGAGATTGATAACTATGATGAACAAGTTTTTTATTATTAGATAGTTCACTCACTCACTCAATCACTAACTCACTCACTCGCTAACTCACTTACTTACTCACTCACTGACTCACTTACTCACTCACTCACTCACACACTTACCCACTCACTTACCCACTCTCACTTACTCACTAACCCACTTACCCACTCACTCACTTACCCACTCACTCACTTACTCACTCACTCACTCATTCACTTACTCACTCACTCACTTACTCACTCACTCACTTACTCACTCACTCAAACACTGACTTACTTTATTTCAGCCGAATCATGTATGAAAGCGAAGTCCGCGTCCGTGTGTTCGTTCACTTGTTGGAAACCAGTCTTTGCGTCCGGTACGGGTTCTAGAAAAGTCAAAAATCTACTCAGTATCTACTTAAGATACCTAATTTTAAGACAAGCATTTATTACATACATAACATCGCGCCTTTTATCCCCGAAGGGGTAGGCAAGGTGCCCATTATGCCACAGTGTAATGTACCTAACACCCACTTTTCACTATTTATGTTATAAGTCCCAGTGTCCCCATAGGGGTGAGCCTATTGTGCACGCATTTATATCATTTGAATTAAATAGTATTTATGGTCATGCAAACTAAACGAAACGTGTATACAAAATTTTAGTTCAATGGTATCATCTGCTTTTAGTTGCAAGATTCCACTTCACCATATAAGTATTGTAAGTTACAGTATAAAATTTTTACAAGCTAATAAAAACTAGAGATGCAACGAATACTTGTTTGGCCGGATACTGGGTACCGGATATTCGGCCTGACCACCAGCCGAATATTCGGTATCCGGCCGCCGAATATTCGGCCGGCAGTGTGATACCTACATTTTGAGTTTTCGTAGGTGCGTGTCACGTACTTTCGCAGCGGTCGCCGTGCCGGTTTTGACTTGTTATTATAAAAAAATAAAATTGTTTAAAATAATAAAAAGACTCAATTACAACTGTGTCTTTATTTAGATTTCATTTATAAAATCAACCAAGTTTACTATTCGATATCCGGCCGGATAGTACATTTCCATCCGATTTATTCATATTCATATTCATATTCATTTATTTGCGTACCATAAAGTGGTTAAGGTGTTACAATAGGCTTAAAGCTAAGTACATTTATGGACCCTGTAAGGGCACAGCAACATTTGTTATGA